CTTCCCTTCCCTTCCCTTTTTTCCTTTTTTTTTAATTTCAATGGACTATGAAATATGCAGCTTATAAAAAACAATCTGTCTCCTATGTTGTTAGTAAGGAGCATCTCCATACAGTTTAGAAGCAACTTTCTTAGATGGACTGTTATTCCTAAGCTCTATTTTTTACTTATCAGAGTGTGGTCCAAACTATACAACCAAAAATAAGTATGTTTAAATAGCTTTCCTTCTGTATATATTTTCCTTTCTTCACACGTATTTGGTTTGTGTCAATTAAGTCAACACAGATTTTATCATTGCTTTCTTAGAGAATTTTATTTGTTGGAAAAAATTCCAAACTCTCAAAAGTCAACACAGATAAGGGCTGTCTTAACGGTAAAATTTCAAACTATATTCACAAACAGATGACAATTTTGCAGTGGAGAAATTGGGGTTTTAGATATGATTTTGGATTAGAAAGTATATAGAGCAAAAGAATTAATTCAGTCTTCCAGATGTAAAGTGGAAGTAAAACACTAATTGTATCTGCACTACATAGGTAGTTTTCATATTTGAGAGCAATGAGATAGTATTAATCTAGATTGAAGACACTTCAAGATTTTATTAAAGCTGAAAACCAAATTTGAAGTCAGTCTTCTAAAATTCTTACAATTTCAGAGAACTTTCTTCACTTTTGATTTCTGGCATGGGTAGAGCCAGTAGAGGTTTGAGTCTTCTATTTGGCCACAGTTTTTCTCACTGTATTGAGCGATATGACTGTATGTAAAAAAAAAAAAAAGCCTAACCTTAAGGTGAAGTCAAGCATGTTTGTACAATATTTGCATGATGTTATTTACAAATAAAACTTGGGTACAGCTGAACTGACAGGCATTTGTCCAAATTTGAGAAAAACCTCCCAGTTTGAGCAAGTCCCAGTTTGAGACTATTTGTGAATCATCACTACATATGAACAATGAATGTAGTTTTGATCCAACTGATTGGCTCTTCTGTGGCTCTGGATTATATGGTCATTTGAAATCCCATTAAACTTGTAACCTTTTTTTGTGTTACATATAAGCTGAAATTTTGTTTTGGTTTTGGTAATATGCAGCTGTTTAGAAGGAGCCACTTAACAGCCAATATATAGATTTCAGTCCCACTTTTAAGTTGTCTTCTGTGAAAATATTTTTTTTTTTTGTTCCTTCTGTGGAAGCTCTCTCTCTTGTTTCCCTTGAATCTGCTGAAAGACCAAACTACTTCCTCTGCGTGCACGACAATGAAACCGTGGGGTTGGAACAGTGGCAGGCAAGTGCCTCCTTTCAGAGACGAGCCACCTTCTTCCACCACCAGGGCCTCTGGAGTCCAGGGCTCAGTGCCTTCGAACTGCACAGTAAAAAAGGCTTTTTCATCATTCTCACCTCATCCGGTGTTAAAGTTGCAAAGTATGATTATTCAGAAGAATTCAAACGTTTGAGTAGCTTTAGTATTGAAGGTAAACTTTGCATAATCCTTGGGGATAAGTATGGGTTTTTTCCTGCTTGTTTTCAGAGCACTTGTCTTTCATCAGCAGTAGTAACAAATATTTTTAACCCTGTTTTGAATTACTGTTCTGTCTTTGTCTTCCATTCTGCCTCCAAATGCTATTACTTTTAAAATATTGCAGATATGATGATCACTTTATCTTTGAACTACGTTCTCACTGGTTTACTCTTTCAAAATGAATGTGGCATGTCACAAAAAGATACCTGTTTATGTCTTGTTAGTGAGCTATAGATATATTTTAAATTAATGGGGTGACTGTACTGCTTTTACAAACAACAGTACCTTCACTACATTTACCTGATTTTTAAGGGTTTTAAAAAGAATATAATGCAAAAGTGAGAAGCTGTTTGTATCTCTAAAGCTTCAGAGTCTTTTAGCTTGATTGAATTTAAAATACTGAAGCTGAAAATGAAAAAAAAATCTCACCTATTTGAAAGTTCTCAAGAATTTCTGTATTTGGTTTTCATTTAACTGAAAATCTCAATATAAGTTATAGAAAAGACTACAATTTTATAGTTTATTGACTACACAATCAATGAATAACATTTTTCTTCTTTCTCAGAACTCAGCGCGCCTGTGCCTTATCGAAGGATGTGTGAATGGAGATACGAATCTTGTGCTAGCCCCTGTGTTAAAACCTGTAGTGATCCTGAAGGAATCACATGTAAATTCCTTCCTCCGTAAGTAAAACTAAGTTTGTATTGCTACCGTACTATTTTTTGTAATATGTGTAGCATGTGCTTTCTGAAAATTACTACAGCTGAAATATCCATTCTTTCTTACTCATATAAATATCATTACCACTCTTGTGAGTAACTCTTACAAGTAATATGAAAACATTTGTGACAAGCCTCTCATTTTCCAAGGCATATATTCCTGTTTACATGTGATTTTTCAACATAAGAATAAAGTGGTTTGTATTTAGCTCAGGGGATTAGCTTCTGGTAGTGGTTAAGTAGAAATCTATTAAATGAAATGAAGGCTATCCTCTTTTCAGATCCTAATCCAGCATCCCACGGTGCTGTAAATGACTAACTGCGTCTTTCTGGTGTTTATAGGGGAGATCAAACACTGTAGGACTAGTAAGGGTGGACTACGCCCTCTCCTGTAAGAGGAGGGAACTTTATACTAAGAGATGCTCACTGACGTGACCTGAAGGATACCTTGTTACTTAGTAAAAAGATTTCCTCTCCTCACGGATCTCCCCGGGCATCTATGGAGCCACAACAAACTAAAAAGAAAAATGCTTAACAACTCAAGGCACAAAATTTGTTGGAAAAGAAATGATATTCTGAATTTCAGACTACTTCCCCAGGCATATGCAGTTTATGATTAGGAGTATTATTAACATCACTAATTTTCTCTGTTGATACTCTTAGCTTTTTCCATATGGGCACACTGGTTGTTAATGTTGTGATTGTCTTATGAAAAATCCCCCCAAAATGAAGAAGTAAGGGAATATATGGACTTGTCTGCACTCAGCTATGCTGGAAGTGTACAAGAATGAGATGTTCTATGGAATCAGTCTAATTATTTCAATGTCTCAAATGAACATATCTGGGTGAAAAAAGCAATCTTTGTCCTATGAAAACCTTTCTGTTCGGGGATCTGAACTTCCACCTGTTTGTGGAAGCAGAATGTTCCAATGCTATCACGTTCGTCAGCCTATGCAAAGAACTGATTATTAAGAATTTAGAAACAGAATTGTGCTGTTCAGTGTCTTTTTGACCTTAATATAGCTCCATATGCTGTGTTCACCTTTACATTGGAAAGTTCTCAGAACTCTGATGGGGTAGACATTCAAACATTTCGTTTTCCCAAAGTTAAATAATTTAGCAGTGATTTATAGTTCTTCTATGGCTTTAGAATTAACTATACAATATTTTAAAGGGTTGAAGGATGCTTGCCGTACTGTCCCAAAAACATGATCCTTGATGAGATCACACTTAGATGTGTTTATCCAGAAGACTGTAAGTATATTTTATTATATTGGTCTAGTCTTATAAATCACTCTAGAGAGCCCAGGAAAGGTTTTAATCAAATGGACATTGTTGGTTGGGTTTTTGTTGTTGTTGTTTTGGGTGTTTTTGGTTTTTTTTTTTTTTTTATTGTTTTAAATTATTATTTTGCTTGTTTCTTTTGTTTTGATTTTCCTTCTTCTTTTTGCTAAGTGCTTTACCAGAACTTATTTCTGTTGAGGAATGTATCCCTGGGACATGGACTGCATTCCCAGTCATCAAAAATATATCTACATCCAAACAAGCTGCATCTAAAGCTGAATTCTTTCATTTCTCTATTAGTGTGTTGAATTTAACCTCCTGTGACGGTGTTGTCCTCATCACAACTCCATTTGACTGTATACTGCTAGTGTATCATATGTGTACAAAAGAAAGATCCCAAGGGGAAGAAATACTGCTGTGGCAAAAAGTTTTTTCAGTTGATTCGCCACCACTAGCAAATTCAGTGCATCTATTTCATAGCTTCTGCTGTGAGAAGATATCACATGATTTGCTTATTTTGGGGATACAGTGTTCTTTTAACATAACAATTACATTTTAGTACTACCTTGTTTTATGTTACACATTTTGATTGAAATGCATTATGCCTGATATTTGTTACTACAAAGTTATCTCACATATTATGAGATACACTGTCCAAAGAGATATATAGATATTCCAAATTTTTTTACTGTTTTGGATGTTCTGAATTTTCTGTGGAATTCCCTTGTTGCTTCAAAACTACTCTGCAAAATGAAGATTTTTCACTAACAATAAAAAAAAAATCTACTTCATTTGCAAAGAAAATTAGAAAACTTCTTGAGTCAGATGAGTTCCTCAAAGTTGTCAGGCAATGTGGAACCATTGGCAAGTTATCTTCTCAACAAAATGGTGGTCTGATTTGCTAATATTTTAGTGAGACATGAGTAGAGATGGATGTTGCTATTTGTCTTTACCAATAATAGCTAAAAAACAGTGAAAGATGTGTTTTTCCTTTAGGCATACCTGTGATGCCTACAGCATCAGCAGCTGGAACAAAACCTTCACTGTCAATCACTCACACGGGTGCTACCATGGAGAGATTTCCTCAGACACCTCTGTTGTTGGTTACTTCGGGGACCGAGCCAACTCGTGCCGGTGTGACAGACAAAACGAGCGGGAAGGCAACCACACCTTTCAGGGGAATGGATGTGTCGCCACGGTCCCTTGCAGACCTCTACTCGTTGGAAGCAACTAATGCAGCCACCTATGCAACGTTGTCATTACCAAGTACAGTGGAGCCTTCTGATGTACCTCACAGCACAGCCAGCCCTCCTCTTCTTTCCAAATCCATCTCTTCAACAGATTTCCCAACTGCTCTTCAACCCTCAGCAGTCATATCTGTCAGCTCTACAGCATCTGTAACTTTACCAGTTACAAAAGCAACTCCAACAATCCTGCTCAGTGCAAGTCCCATTCCAACACATTCTGCGTTATTAACACCCACTTCCCTAGTAGTAGTGGTTCCATTTCCACTTGAAACATCAACCGCTTAGCTAGGAACTGTTCCCTCTTCCTCAGCATTAACAAATTCCACCTCCAAGCCATCTTTTGTCACTTCTGAGCTGCCTGCAGGGATTGGGCAGAGTAGGGGTCCTTCAGCAAATCATTCTAAGGGAGCAGCCGTATCTTCTGTTGGGAGCCATATCTTCTTTGTTGGTTGGCAGAGCAACTTTCACAAGACCTGTATTACTTCTAGATTCACAGCTGACATGAAGCAAATCTACTTTTCCTATATCTGCCTTGTCTGTTAGAACTAGGTCTGGCATTGGTCAAACTGCCGTTTACCCAACAACCACTTCTGTACTGACTTAAGTGCTCCTCAGATTCCTGTGACTACTAGGTTTGCTAGCTTTGAGGCAAGTTTTCCTCACTTAATCACAGTTTCATATTTCAAAACAGCAAAACCCTTGTCTAAAATTTCTCTGGTATCATTAAATGCAAGTTCTTTAGCTAGTTTGTCACCAAAGACATTTTTATCTTCAGTGGAAATCTCAGTGACTATTCTGAAGCAGACAGCTCCATTAATAAAAGGCAGTATTTCTGTTGCTCTGCCCTTAATGAGTGTATCTTCACCTCGATTTCCTTCTCAAATCCCTAGGAATGCTTTCTTGAGTCCTTCTTTAACACACAGTGTCTATACCAGTACATTTTCTGACTACCTCTCTGAAACCCAAAGCTATAGCAGATGCCACTGTTGCCTCCAAAAATCTTTATAAAGCACTGCCTGCTGCTTCCACTCTTCTAGTCAATCCAACAACCCCTGATATGTCTATAGCAAGTAAAGCCTCAACAGAAAATACGTAATGCACACTGATTCCTTTTCAGTGTCATCCATTTCTAAAAAGTCAGTGAAATGCATTATGTCTACAGTCTCCCCTCTTAGGGCATTGGTGTTACCTCTAAATGATCCGTTATTAACCACTTCAGAAAACACAGAGTACCCAAGTGGTTCAGATCCAGAATTCAAATCTGACCTTGTTGCACAAAGTTCAGCCACTTTCATTCCTAAACATCCTTCTCTTACAAGATCATCATCTTTATTTGCTGTCTTGTTAAGAATTTCAGTACCATTTTATATGACATTTCATACTACAAGCTCTTCTTTAATTCCCACGGTCAGTAGGACATCATCATTAACACAAAATATAACTGCTACCCAAACATCACTTTCATCTCTAGGTATTCAAGGAACCTCAAAAAGTCCAGTTACAGACTTCGCAACTTCTTTGGTAGATTTTTCTATATTGACTTTAAACATAAGCCCTTCTAATAGCCTTTCAGCAGCACTAAAAACATCCATTGTAATGCTTTCTTTACTAATGCCTACAGCTCCTGAAGCCACTTTAGTAAGCCAGTCCAGTAGGGTCTCTATGTCTTCTCCTTCTCCTAAGACCTTTTCTATCTCTACTGTTTCTCTAGGAAAACAGAGTTCTTCAGTAAGTTCTTCAGAAGAAGATGGAACAGTATCAGCCATATCAGCTGGAATCATCACTCAATCCACTACTCCAATGACCACAAACACAGCAGTTAATGCTACATCCTTAAAAGCACCTTATATTTTTGCAAAAATACCACCTAGCTCTTCAGCGGGTTTATTAGTTGCTTCTGGCACTACTGTAGCCTCTAGGATTGCTACAAGACCTGCTGATTCTTCTATTGCCAATCTGAAGTTTTATATGGCTTCAACTTCAGTCCCTTCAACCATAGAAACACCCATGCATGTGTCACAGAAATCTTTATTTACACCTGCAATGACTCAAACTTCACAGAGCACTAAAGAAACTAAAAAAATTATGATCATGACAACTGGTACTACAGCTCCCTTATCACAGACAAAGAGTACCTCATTTGAAAGAACTGTGGATATTTTAGAAACTGGTCAGACTTCATATGAGCAAAGAAATGTTACCAAGACAAAGTCAACAACAACTGAGAGATCTTCCCTGCATTATTTGGCAGTATCTGCAGTTCAGAGCTTACCTTTTCCAAGGAATACCACCTCAGTAAGAGATCTCTCTCTTTCTAGAGTCCCGGACCATACAGCATCGTATGGGTACAAAATCCCAACACAGAAAACCATTAAGCCTTATTTCAGTTTAACAGAGCCCACAGAGCTGCAGACCAGAACTGCAATAGATTTATCTCATTCTAGTGGTGGAAGGGCTCTGCCCTCCTCTTCATTGCCTGTGGAAACACATACTTCTCTGACAAGCAGAGAACCAAGGACAGCTATGGCTGACAACACCTCCTTTGGTACAGTGATGTCTACGTCTTCTGAATGTGTGGTATGATCAGTTTTACTTGCCCCTATATGTTAAAATATATATTGCTTTTCAGTCCATCCTGTTATGCTACCTATGTAATACCAGAAATTTTAAATATCTTCTATTTTTATTTGTACCTTTCGAAGTAGTCAATTATCATTGTTTTATTGCTGCTGTTACACTACCCTGGTATATTCTGCAAGTTAGATGTAGTGCTCTGGAAAAAGAGAGCTTTTAAAGCTATATGCTGAGATAGTGAAATATATTTCTGAGGTGCAGGAAAAGCCATAATCCATGGAATTTTTAGGTTTCTGCATAAACTCACCCTGTCTGGTGTTTTGTTTTGTTTTGGTTTTTTTATTCATAGGGTTTAAAATTATAGGAATGAATGATTCTGTACTTTTTTAAATGCTTCAGATTGTTACTAAATATAACATGTAGCCTCAAAGTATATGGCTTTACATACAGTATTCAGCCAAAGCTAGATGGAACAGGAAGGGTGTGGGTGGATGGACGTGCATCCTTGCCACCTGTTACAACCACACACAAGCAATTAATTCCAAAATAACTGATGAGGGGTCACGTAGATCTGTCTCAGAGCAGAGTGGTGAACAGGTGACCTCCTGGACTTCATAAGGGCAATGAATGTAAGCTTGACTCTCGTTGTTTTTTCCTTCCATGGCAGCCAAGATACCTTGAACCTGTTGACAAATGCAGCCAGTATGTGTGTGTGAATACGGGCTGGATGTTATACAACCTTTCGAGGAACTGCCCTAAGGATGTGCAGAAGCCAGACTGTGGTTTTCGAGGAATGCCAGTTCAAGTTAACATTGATAGTTGTTGCCCAGAATGGGAATGTCCCTGTAAGTCACTGTTTTATTTTTAAATACAACATAGAGCCTTGATCTGTAAATTTCAAGTAATAAATTAAGGGTTTATTACAGTGGAAATATGAGGTTGAATACTGGAATGAATTTAAAGGAACAGCTCATCAGCAAAACAGAATGAAATTACTGAATGTTTTGATATCTTTGAATTAATGTTCAAGAGGGTCAAAATATTTGACTTTGAATGAAAACATTGAAGTGAAATCTGCAGCGTGATCACCAGCACTTTCCAGCTGAGACTTCTCAGAATTTGTATCAGTAGAAATGTTGAGATTTCAACATTTTGTGAAAAAAAATAAATGAAATACTGACGTTTTCTTAAAGAGAGAACCCCCAAATTTCAGTTAGCTGAATTTGTACTCAGAAACTGCATAAACCAGCAGGTGACTGTCTGCCAAGGGAATAAAAAGGACAAAGAGAAGTAGTATTAAAATCCTTACAGCTTTACCAAAACCAATATTGCACTTTTAAATATTTGTCTCAGGCCATATCAACCTATTGTATCTTGTATCAGTACCTCAAAAGTATATATATTTTAATACATATATTCTGTCTCACAATGTACAGATTCGTTGACCTTGCCTGTAAAACACTGATTTCAGTGAAAGTTTTCACCAGTTTAAACTTTCTCCCTGTACACATAGCAGTAGGTGAAGGTATTTTCACAGAGTAACGTGGGGTACTTGTTTCTGCTTGTGGCTCAGTGTGCTGTCTGCAGAACAAGATCATAAAAATATATATATATATATATGAACATGTATATGAAAGCAAATATTGCTAAACCAGAAAGATTTTAGAAATGTCCAGTATTTGGTAACCTCATTAAATGACAGTTCTTTTTTAGGTCAGTGTTCTGTACTGTCTGAACTGAGTGTTATTACATTTGATGGAAACAACATAGCCCTCTGTAATATGGCTTCCTACATCTTAGTCAAGTTACCAGGAGAAATTATTGTTGCTCATATTGAAAAATGTCCTGCTAATCAGGTAAGATTCTGCAGTTCTGCAATAATTGTAATAGTTTCTTGAATGTTTGTGTTATAGGTATGAAATTTTTCAAAAATGCATCCCTTAAAACTTTCAGATAAAAGCCATACCCATTGGAAAATGGCAAGTTATTAAATTTTCAAGGAGTATGCTTAATAACGCTGTTTAGATAAAAGAATTTTATTTCAGGTTAAATAGTGATTGTTGTATTATGTTATAAAGATATTCAAATATAGGTTCCTTGACATGAATCTGCATGTCTTCTTTCAGGCTCTCCAACCACAGATCTTCTTGAGGCCTTGAATTTATACTTTACAATATGGTCAAAATAGTAAAATATTTTGAACAGTCACAAAAATCTGTAGTTGTTGGAGGCTATTAATGAGTTTAGGATTAGTGGGATGAGGTGTTCTTTGTAGTTATCTAACTCTCTGTATTGCCTACGGAAAGGATCCAGCCACTTTACTTTTAGGCTACCAGTTCAGGTCAGGTCAGTCTCACTATTAGAGTCTGTACCTACCTTGCCTTTGTGTTGCCCACATTCCTAATTTATGCAACCCTTGAACAACTGACTTGTATTTCCACCTTTGGTTTGTGGATGAAAAAGTTCCTGCTG